ACATGCCCCAGACAGAAGATGGCAGGGTTGGTGAGAAAGCATTATATCCTGACAACTTGGACAGAGGGTGGAGAGGAAGTGGGTCACTTGGCCATTTAAATTCAGTGCGGTTTTCGCCGTGCTCATTCCTCTTCCGAAGAAGGACTCGCCTCTCGGCCCAGCCTCCTACATGCTGGCAGACTTGGTCAGTGTATTGCTGTTGAGGGCTGGTCCAGCACCAAGGTAACAAGTGCCCTCCCCAGCTAGGGAGGGAGATGGACCATAAGCGAATTTCTTAAGCATGACAGACTCAGGCGGTGACACATGCTAAGAAAACAGTGGGTGAAGTGAGTAACTGGGCAGCAACTTTAAACTGTGTTCAGGATATTCAGGGTGAGGAGGAGAACATTTGATCTGACACTTATGTAACAAGGATCAGACACCTGTATCCAAAGGAGAGACCCACAGGCATAGCAGGATCAATAGTCACAAAGTTCACGGGTGAGAACAGGCTCAGTGTGCCCAGAATGACTGCAGAGGAGGGAGGGAGTGGCAGAGGCTGGGGTCAGGCAGCCGGAGGACAGGTCACCTAGTACCTTGAAGGTAGGGTAAGTGGTTGAGACTTGATCAGTGGAGAATGGGAAGGAAGTCAGGATGGGCTGGAGTTTAGAATGCACTGCACCCCTCAGACCATGAGTTAGAGGAGCTTTTCAGGGAGGTGGTGCTCAGGGCTTGCTCCTGGCTCTGCTAAGGGATCACTCCTTGGGGTTCAGGTTCTGTGGACCTGGCAGGTAGGTGAGAGTGTAGTGGCCGCAGTTGGGACTGAGTTCTTGGACCCCCACTAGGGACTTCCCAGAGACCTTGGCGATAGTTCCTTAGATGTGCGAGCATCCTTCTGGGGTATCATTCTGGAACTAGTGACCTCCTCCTTCTCGCTCTGACCCTGCCCTGGAACCTGGGCTAGCCAGCTGGGACAGGAAGGCTCGGTCTCACTTTGGCAAAATGGTAGAACGGGTTTGTGACTGAAGGCTTGGGGAAAGCTGTGAGTTCAGCCCCCCATGAAAACCCCTATTGGGGCTGGTAAGTTTGGTGTAGAAATCTGCCTGGCACCCCTGGCCTGAGCAGCCCAGAAGCAGCTTTCCTGCTGGTGTGGTCTGATCATTTCTATCTCCAGAGTAGTGCCCCCGTGTATTAGGCTAGTGATTTTAAACGAGGTAACTCTCTTGCCAAGCCTCGTTTAGCTGTGCTCCAACAGGATTCGGACTCAGTGTGAGGGGCGAGTGCATGGAAAGCCCTCCGCTCATTTCTGCACCGCAGACACTTGAGTGAACATGAGATGTTGTCAGCCACACTGTTCTGTCAGGTGTTGTTCCTTAGAAACGACCCAGAATTGAGCTCAGGGCTCAGGACCCTATTAGTGCCAGGGACTGAACTGGTGTCAGCTGCATGCAAGACAAGGGAGAGCCGGGGCGGGGGGAGCGGATCAATTCAGGGCTTGCTGCTGGCTCTGCTCAGGATTACTCCTGCCAGTATTAGGGGACTGTATGCAGTTCCGGGGACTGAGCCCAGGAGGACCACGTGCAGAGTAAGTGCCTACCCCCGTCCTGTCTCGGTTCCTTCTGAAATACTCTGATCTCGGACTATTTAACTTGGGGTCTGTAATTTCATGGAAGGTGAACAACCTAAAATTCTTTGCAAAGTATTTGGGAGTGGAAGTAGGCCACGGATTTCCAGACCCCATTCTGGAGTCTTTGCACCTGCAGAAACCTAAGGGACTGACTAGAGTTCCCATTCAGTGGTGAGAGAGGCCAGACTATCACGGTCATTTCTGCTTGAGGGGCCTGGTCTCAGTCAGCCTGAAGGCTTGGCGTGAAGCTGGGGACAGCGCGGTGACCTTCTTGGAAGTTCTGAAGGTTAGTCCCCGTCTGATGTGCGGTTGCCTCTGAGACGCGGCATTTTGTTTCTCGGCTCTTCTTAGTAGGTCAGGACTTGGTGGCTGTTTTTGAGAACCATCGTCGCAGCCTGACCTAGACCCATTTTCTGGGAAGGGCATTAAGCTCTGTACCCTTAATTTTTTGGACTAAGGATTCCACACCCCACTACCCCCCAGCACTGAGTTGAAAGCTGTGACCGTTTGGAGTGAGAAGCTATAACCTAAAGGACTCTGCGGTGCCCTGCTCGGAGGTGGGAGACGGGCCATACTGGGGGCTGTCGGGCAACAGGCAGAAGAGTGGACCCTAGGAGTGCTGATTAGGGTTTGTCCATGAGGTCGGGTCTGTGTTTGACTCTGGGAAGGAATCGCCAAATAGATGGCAGCTGAGCGGTGACTGGAGAGAGACCAGGGTCTGAGGAACTGACAGGGTGGAAGAAGGGGGAGGTACCCCAGGAAGCCTGATAGTGAGCTTGGGGCAAAGGAGTTGACTTTTTTTTTCTTTTCTTTTTTTGGGTCACACCTGGCGATGCACAGGGGTTATTCTTGGCTCATGCACTCAGGAATTACTCCTGGCGCTGCTCGGGGGACCATATGGAATGCTGGGAATCGAACCCAGGTCAGCTGCATGCCAGGCAAACACCCTACCCGCTGTGCTATTGCTCCAGCCCCAGGAGTTGACCTTTAACCATGCCAGCTTTGGAGTTTGGAGGTCAGGGTTGCAAAGTTAGCAGTAAGACCACGCCCCATCGTCAGCTCTACATCCCAGATGAGCTTGAGAAAGACTCGCCGCCTCCCTCCTCAGACTGATGTGATGACTAGGAGTCTGACCACACAGCCCTTGTGAGCCTGATGTGGGAATCAGGATCAAGAGGCCTCTCAGGCTTCAGGGCCCCTTTTTGGCATCATTACAACAAAGGACCTCAGTCCTCAGCACTTTGAGGTCCCTTCTCATGTTCCGGGAGCCTCTGAACTGTCTCATCATGCCCTGCCCTGCCCAGCCATCCCTCTACTCACTTCTCTACTACTTCTGCACAGTATTTGTTTTTTTCTCCCAGGTGGGGGGAGGGGTGGAGGGGGGTCTTGCCCACTGGCTGTGCTCAGGGCTTACTCCTGGCTCTGCTCAGGGACAGAACTAGGTTTGAACTGGCAATATCAAGGCAAGTGCCTTAACCCCAGTACTGTCAAAGTAGGCCATGCCCAGGGACTGCTCCCTGCTCAGCGTGGGGGACTGTGTGATACTGGGACTTGGACATAAGCCTCTGTATGCAAAACATGGACTCAGCCTGTGGAGCTCTCTCTCCGGTCCCGTGAACAGCATGGAGAAAGGGAAAAAGCCCCCTCCCCTCCCCCGGCTTCCTCCACTCACCTTCCCGTTGATTGATGCCACTTTTCGGGAACAGCCAGCCTTAGCTCCTCTCACCCTCCATCTCCAGCTTCCCAGCTTCCTTTATTCTCTTTTGTGTCCCCAGACATTTACTTCTGTGGTTTCTTCTGATGAACACACTTTCTCCAAGACCTTTCCTGAGGTTTGTCCAGCCCTGCCGAGGGGAGGGAGAGGTGACCCTTATCCCTTTCAACTCTCCCGGTGCTCGGGGCTGGGCAAGGAATCCTGGGGGTAAGATCCGGGGCTGGGCCGCAGTGGGCTCGGTGTCGGTGTCGTGCAGAGCAGGGGGGAAGGGGGAGAGGTGGCCTTGGTCTGGCCCCTTGGAACTCACACCAGGACAGCCTCGGAGACTGCCTGTTGATCTTGGGATTTCCCTCTTGTTGATTTGTTTCTTGGCAGAGTGTGAGTTGGGACACACCTTGTGTTCCTCTGTAGCAGGCGTGGCGGGGCCAGGCGCTCGCCTGCTTGTTTTAGACTTTCCTGGACATTTCTTAGTCATTGCAGCACTAAGCTGCTATTTTTAGCATCACCACCTCCTAAGAGACCTAAAATAAAACTGGCTAGGTTTCCTGGCCCCTCATTGGCTGGAGTATTGGTCATAGGCTGGAAAATTGACTGGACTGAGAATAAATCACTGTCCCTCTACCTTGTCCCTCCCTGCTGGCTCCTTTGGCCTTGAGTGAGGTCACGGAGATGGGTGTGACCAGCACTCCTGTGATGTGAGGCTCTCCCGTTTCTCCTTCCCCCCCGCGCCACCCCCATTCTCCTGAGGCCCCAAGTGGGCACGTGGGTAGCATCAGCTTCTCCCCAATGATGGACTGCTGGGTTGAACCCCCTTCCTCACTGCTGTGCTTCAGAGTCCTGTTACCAGGAGGGATGGCGCCTCTGTAGTCAGGCAGAGGGCACAAGGCTGGATCCCATGGTGGAGGTTCGGGGGAGCTTCTGGGAGCAAAGTTGGGGGACTGTTCGCTGAGGTTTGGGTTTTCTGTCTAGCACCCTGGGAGTGTGGTCTCTAGCTGGGTTGAGAGACTCTCCCTCCTCGGGGGCAGGAGGGGCAGCCACTTCTGATGGGAGCCATGCTGGGTGGGAGGAGAGGACTCAAGTCCGGGCCCCTCCCCACCCCCCAGCTCTTACTGTGAGGCTCCCACTCTGAAGCGGGCCATCAAAGACGGAAGGGCCAGGCCAGCTGTCAGCCTGCCTTAAAGATGTGAGCTCCTTAAGACTTGAGCTCACTTGCTGTTTTCATTGCAAGTGGAGATTTGAGGCGCCCCCCTCATTAGAGTACCCAGGACAGTAGCACCCTAGAGCCCCAAGACCTACTTGGATGGGGAGAGGCCGAGGCTGTGGAAGAAAACACTTGGCATGAAGAGCAGTAGTTCCTGACTTGGGCGAGAAATGCGACCTCTAGTTCCTCAAGCATTGAGAGGAGTCAGAGGATGTGGGGAGGGCGCGTAGCTGCTCCTGAAAGCCTCTCCCCTCACTGGGCACAGAAGGGCCTGTTCTGACCGTCCCTTGTCCTGGCTCCACTCTCAGTAGCCGAGTCTGCTTTCCTGGACTGCAGCAGGTCTCCTGTGGGGAAGCCCTAGCATCGCTGGAGAGTTGACACCTCGCCAAAGAACACTGCTCTAGGGGGCTGGGGGGACTGAGTGCCAGCCGAGTCCTGCTCCCTCCCTGCCAACCTTTCTCATCTCACCCGTCTTGCAGGTCTCCACGAGCCGGGTGACGCTCCAGAATGGGAGACAAGCCAATTTGGGAGCAAATTGGATCCAGCTTCATTCAGCATTACTACCAGTTATTTGATAATGACAGGACTCAACTAGGCGCAATTTACGTAAGTCTGCCTCGCGGGACTCCAGGGATCAGTTGAGATGTTGGGCTAACGTATTCAGTTCATCAGTTCTGGTGTTGCATGTAACTGGACCTGGGGGCCGACGGTTGGGCCACATCTAATATTGCTGGCGGAGGCGGGGCCTTGTTCCCAGTTCTGTTGCTCCTGGCGGTGCCTGTGCAAGACAAGCACCTTACCCCCGTACTGTCCCTCCAGGCTGTCTGTCTGAGCTTTTGCCTGTGAGACAGGGATTCTGAGCGTGGCCCAGCTACCTGGTCTGTATTCCCTTGTAGCAGCTTTCACAGTGGTGAGGGTCTTGGAGGCCTGGGTAGGTGGCCAATCAATCTGTTGTCCTGGGAGTGTGTCTCTGAGATTGCTCCACTACAGGCCCAGTTTAGACTTGTGGCGCCCTCTGGAGGCCGCTGGGAGCAGCATCAGTGCAGTGTGGCGCTCTTCTGTCAGGAGCCCCAAGCACAGCTTCCTTAAGGGTAGCAAAAGCCCCTGTATGCTCCTGAGCCCCAGGAGGCTGGGGCGACCTTGAGAAAACAGGCACTGTTTGATATTTTAGTGGGGTTTTTATGCACCACGAGTTGTGTTTGACCCTGCCCAGTCATACTTAGCAGGTGCTGTCCAGGATAGGAGTGATGGAGTCACCGCTCAGAACCACAGCCTGGATGGATCCTTCTGTGTCTCCCACCAAAGACTAAAGGGGAAACTTGGGAAATGTGGGAAGTTTTTGGTGGGGGGGTTAAAAATATCATAGTTAAAAGTCCAGCACAGACACACAGATACTGTCACTATCATAATATTTTTGAAAGTTGAAGCTATAGAAATGTACAGGCTTGGGGGAGTGCATATCCGTTGATGCTCAAAGGTTAGTCCTGGCTCTGTGCTCAGGACTTAATGTAGCGACGGTTGGGTTCTATGTGGGATGCTGGGGATCAAACCCAGTCAGCCACGTTCAGGGCAAGCTCCCTGCCTGCCGTACAATCTCTCTGGTCCCTGAGATCATACAGGGTTTAAGGCACTTTCCTTATTAATCCTTTGAGCTGCAGTGCCACATGGTCCCCTGAACACAGAGCTAGAAGTGACTAACTGCCCCACCGCACAAAAACATATAATTGATATTGGGCCAGAGAGATAGTCAACAGGCTGCAGCTCATGCTCGAAATGCAGAAGGCCCAGATTCCATACCTGGCAGCACCTGGTCCCCCTGCCAGGAGGAACCTCTGAGCCTAGAGACCTAGGTATTGCCCCCAACGCTGTCAGGTGTGACCCCTCCCCCCCCGCCTCCCCACACACACTTCCAAATGAGAGGGGGTAAAAGAAGTTAGAGTTTGACTCAGTTGTAGAAGCACCTACCTTGCATATGTGTGTTCCTGAGTTTGATCCCCAGCACCACAGAAAAAGTTATTAGTACAGTATGTTAATGTAGAGATAGTAGAGGGTAAAATACCTTGTTGTGGCTGACCCCGGGTACTTAATCCTTGACACTCTGTATGACCCCCCTCCCCCAGGCTCCACCATTGACTATCACCAGGCATAATTTCTGAGCACTGCTAGGTGTGGCCCAAAGCCCCCTCACCCCTCAAAATAACCTACAATGCTGGCTTTCCCCAAGTGTGTGATACTGCCCTCTGCTGAAATGATCCACGGGGCCAGTACTAGCCTCCAGGCACAGTAGATAGGGGAGCGGTTTTCTTTTTGTTCGTGTAAAGAGGTAGATTAGGGTAGGGGGTAGTGTTGAGTAATTTCTTTTCTCAACATGTAGTAGAGGCCAATAAGTTTGGTGACCTCATCTGTAAAGTTTGGAAACTGCCTACAGTTCCCTTCTTTATGGGCTGGGAAGCTGAGGCATGAACTCATTTCCCTAAATAAGCCCCTTTTTAGGGCTTCGTGTGTTTCTCGACCTCAGCAGTTCTGACCGTGAGTTTCTGGCTTTCAGATTGACGCATCATGCCTTACGTGGGAAGGAGAGCAGTTCCAGGGGAAAGCTGCCATTGTGGAGAAGTTGTCTGTAAGTAAGGGCCAGCCGGGCGGTAGGCAGCTCCTTTTCTGCCCTGCTGGCTATAGCCCATGGCTGCTCTTTTTCTTGTAGAGCCTTCCGTTCCAGAAAATTCAGCACAGCATCACGGCACAGGACCATCAGCCCACGCCGGATAGCTGCATCATCAGTATGGTGGTGGGCCAGCTCAAGGTAACTGCTACTCGGCTGCAAAGCAGTCCCGGGGGAGCCCAGCACCCCTCTCTTCCCTGTAGTGCCACTCGTTTATCATCAAGGACACCCAGAGTGACCCTGGTATGTAGTTCAGTACAGTAGCCTCTAGCCACATGTGATTTCTGTTTTGGTTTTTGGGCCATACCCAGCAGGGCGCGGGCTATTCATGGTTCTGTGCTCAAGAGTGATTCCTGGCAGTTGCTGGGGGTTTGAAGAAAAGTCCACAGGACACAAGGCAAACAAACACCTTGGCCCTTGCTGTCTCTCCAGCCCTGCTGGAAAGTATTTTAAAATACTTTAAGAACTGGGGAGATAGTACAGTGGCTGGTGCACTTGCTTTGCACACAGTAGGCCCGAGTTTGATCTCTGGCACCTCCTATAGTCCTTGAGTGTCGCTGGGAATGGTTCAAACCAACCCTCCATCCTCCGAGCCCCTGCCCCCGCCCCACACAAATTACAAACAACAAAGCTGAAATAGTTATTTATTAGTACCCAGTACACATCTGTATTTCAAGAGCTTATATTTTTTGGTTTTGGGTCATACCCGGTCGGTGTTGAGTGATCACTCCTGGCTCTGCACTCAGGAGCCACTCCTGGCAGTGCTCAGGCGACTGAGCTCTCCTCCAGAGAAGAGGAGGAAAATATAGAGAAAATTTCAGTACTTGATTCAGCCCTCAGGAGGCAGCATGGAGCACGGCAGCATTGCTTCCAGTGAGAGGCTGTTGCCGGCATCCCAGCCAGCTTTAGCCCACATACAGCCCAGGCTATGCTGAGCCCCAGCGGTCTGGCACAGCTCCATTCTGTTCCTTACCTCCTGTCTCTTTCCAAGAGATCAGTAGAACTTCCTGCAGTAACAGAGTTCTCTGTCTACACTGTCCAAAAGACAGTTACTAGTAACTAAGCTTGGGGCTAGAGAGATAGTACAGCAGGTAGGATGCTTACTTTGCATGCAGCTGGCCTAGGTTCAGTCCTGGCATATGGTCCCTCAAGCTTCGTCTAAGCCCTCAGCACTGCTGGGTGTGAACAAACACCACCCACCCCCCCAAAAAAAAGAAAATACAAGACAAACCTGAGTCTCCTACATGCAAACTGTGTGCTGAGCTTGTTGAACTTGCTCTAACCCCTCATAAATTCTTGGGAGTGAGGGGGTTTCTCCAGGGAATTTAGTGCTCCTTTCTTAGTAAGTATAAGCATTTCCTCCTCCTTGTTTTAGGTTCTTTATCCCTGTAGTGTCTTGTCTACTTCAGAGTCCCCCAAAAACATTTATCTCTGTAGTAACAATAGTTCTCAGAAAGACTGGTGATTTTAAAGATAGTTCTAGTTACCTGGATTCCTACCTTATATAGGTCTCATCCTAATTTTCTAGAGTTTGGAAGTTGTCTTACCATTTTTCATTGCAAATATTATATATTACTACACAGAGGACAAATCCCCACATGGTAACACTTCTTTTTTCTTGTGGCTCTGTGACTATAGTGTGAACTCAGTTTTGAACCTTTTCTTTACATACGTTGCCGCTGTCCACTAATTGGACCAACTGGGCTAGACACTAACTGGTTAGTCTGCCTTTATGTATTTACTGTAAGTTTCTTGGTGAGCACTGCAGTCATAACTCTTTGAAAAGGATCTCTTGTTGACATGAGCTGAGAGGTCACTGTGAGCTCTCCTCTGTTCTGTAGTTAATTAGTAAATCTTCCTAAAATTCAAAGGTACATCGCGCTTTGTACCCAGAGCAGTGTTTGGTGCATTCTGTCTACCCACATCTGCAAGCTCCTGGACCTGACCGGTCTGAGTCCAGCAAGAGAGGCCCTCGTGCCCGAGCCAGCCTCCTGGCTCTGATCCCCTCCCCTGAACTCCCTAGTCCTTGGCCCCTTTACTGAATCTGTTTTCTCTCTTCCCAGGCCGATGAAGACCCCATCATGGGATTCCACCAGATGTTCCTACTAAAGAACATCAACGATGCTTGGGTTTGCACCAATGACATGTTCAGGCTTGCCCTACACAACTTCGGCTGACCTCCTCCCGGCCAGGCACTCGCTGTTTCCTCCTCCCTCCAATTTCCGATACTATTCACACTCCTGCAGATGCTCCAAATATCATACACAAGCGAACAGAGCCGCGGTGGGAGCGGGCGCGGTGCGCTGCTGCCACCAAGGTGTTGTGCATGATGTTTGGACACTAGACTAGTTGCATCTGACAGGAGAAGTTTGTGTTGTACCAGCGCATGCCTTGGAAAGACTTAAGTAATGCAAAAGGTTGTCCTTTTTTTTTTCCTTTTTTTTTTATCTACTGACAAGTTGCTCTAGTAACCCAAAGAAGTGAAGGAGAAAGCAGCTGCCTCACCGCCCAGATATTGATTTGTTCAGATGTTTCAATGCCTCATGATACAATAAAACCACAAAACTTTTCTTAACAGTTTAAATTGTTTTAATTAGTTTAATAGTTGGCTGGGCATCAGTAACTCCCTTGCCCCATTGACTCGTGCCTCACCCTTCCACCTCTACCCCAACTCAGTGATACCTGTTTCGAGGAGATCCCAGTAGAAGCAGCGCTCCAGCTGTTTTCTCTCAGAAGCCCTGCAAGAGGAGGTAGGGATCCTCCCCCAGCCCACCTGGTCCTGGGAAGTGTGCTGCAGACAGGGAGAGCTCGGGTCTGGCCTGAGGCTTCCCTTGCACTGAAGGCTCTGCAGTAAGTTCCTTCACCTCTTGTGACCTCTTCTGCAGTCGGCTGGGTCAAGGTTGTGGGCCTAGAGATTACCCAGAATCTTGTTGAAGATGAAGAGCCTTGGCAAAAAGTAGTCCCCCAGTTTCAGGTCCTGCGGACTGAGGGCTCGGCGAGGTAAAGGAAGAGCAGAGGTGTGAGGGCCAGGGGCCAGCATCTTAGCCAGGGTGTCCCACAAAGTCTAGCTAAGCTGAAGGCAACTTAGATCTTTGACTACCTGCTTTGGATATACTTGCCCACGGATGAGTGCCCAGAGCTGCCAGCCTCAGTGCGCAAACAGCTAGGCCAAGTTGAGTTGCAGTCTGGATTTAGAGCGATGAGAGCAGAGGGATTTATGTGCTACTTCTCAGTCCTCAGCCTCTGCAGGATGCTTCTAGGCCTCTTTCCTCTCTTCCCTCCCTCCCCGCACATGCAACTTGACACTGTCATCAGATCCCAGGAAGCTGTGGTTCTCCGTTTGGGGGACAGAGTCCTCACTCAGTACAAATCTGGTCCTGCAGCCCGGAGACCTCTTGGTAAACCTAGTGGTGATGTAGCAGCCACAGGCTAGAACCAAACCCAGGATTGGCAGCTACCCTGTTCGGAGTTTCAGGATTGATGGGGCACTGCAGCTAGAATCTATACTCAGAGACCTTCCGCCACACGTGAAGGTGAAGCCAAGGACTTCTTCGACCCCCACACCCCCCATCACCTGTTGTTGTCTGGCCACCCTGGACACAGGGCTGGATGCTGTGCTGCTTGAGAGGACAGCATACTCAGGAGATTTCAGGGAGACTGAATTCTAGAGGGCTGTGTATGTCGGGGTGGGAAGGGAGAGAGGTAGATGCCTGCTGCCTCTTAAACCTACCCTGTATAAAATCTGCAATACAGCTGCTTCCATGTACCTGTGCCTGAAATGTCTGCAATAAAAAGAGGTGTTTGTAATCTGCAGTTTCTTTCTTCTTGAGGGCACCTGGTTGGGAAAGGGGGATCCTGGGGGACATCAGGGACGGGGAACAATGACACAAGCACTGCCCTGAGACCATCTCCTCTGCCCTTGCCACTTCTGAGCCTTCGTTGCTGGTGTCCCCCCCCCCCCCCCCCCCCCGTGTGTCGTGTTACCCACCCCCCCTCCCGCCAGACCTGTTTACTCCAACCTATTTCTTTGGGGGAAATTGAGGCTTCTGCCAACTTAGCTGCTTGTCCCTGGAGAGAGATGCCAGCCTGGGGGCTGAGTGGACGTGTGCGCCGTGACTGGGGAGTGGGCACGGACCCGCGCCCGCCGCCTATCCTGGAGGGCGGCCAGAAGGCGGCCTCCGCCAGGGGCGGGCTCGGGAGGCGCCTCGCCGGCTCCCCGGCCCGGAACCTTTCTTCTCGGGCGGGTGCAGGTTCCGGGAGCCGTGGCTCGGCGGGCCGGAAGTGGAGGCGGTTGGTGGGGTTGGCGGGGCTCAGGGCCGCGGCGCGGGCGGCGGTTTGGGGACTGCGGGAGGGCCGAGCGGAGTCCGGCCAGTGGCCCGCGGTGTGACCTCGGCGCGGCGCGGCGTCAGCGATCGAACCCCGCGCGGCCGGGGCGCCCGCCACCGGGCCCATGGCCTCCTCCTGCGCGAGCATCGACATCGAGGACGCTACGCAGCACCTGCGGGACATCCTCAAGCTGGACCGGCCGGCGGGGGGTGAGCCGGGGCCGCGGGCGGGCCGCGGGCGAGCGGGCGGCCGGGGCGGCGCGTGCGGGGCCCCTCCTCGGGGCGCGCGGGACCGTCGCCCGCCCTGCGTCCCCCTGGCTAGTGAGGGCAGAGCAGGGTCCGAGCGGCAAACGCCCCCGCCCCCCACCTCCCGTGCTCCTGGAGGGCGCAGACCCCCGACTGCGAGCCCTTCCCGTTCCCCCGCGGGGCGCTTGGGCCACGTCCTTCAGCATCTCCGCTGAAGGTGAGGCCCCTTTAAATCCGCAGGGTCCCCCGGCCCTCCCAGGCCCCAAGATGCCTAGCGTTCCTGCAGCTGGTCCAGGTTCTCTACCTGCCTGCCTGGCCTCCAGGTGCCCTGTGCCAAGCAGCCGCCGGCATCCCTTAGCAACTCGCCTTCCCCCCCACACCCCGACCTCCCCCCACACACACATACACCCGGACCCCACATTTGAGGCCTGCTGTTCCGAACCTGTTGTTCAGGAAGCAGGTGACCAACCCCAATTCCTTGACCTTTTCAGGGCTAAGACAAATAAATCACAGGATGTACGACCCGGATTAGACGCGGCCACAAACGTGCAAGCCCGAATCTGTTTTCTTTCCTTTTTAAACTTTACCCCAGGCTCCCCGGGAAGCCTTGGAGATGCTTCTGCCCCGTTGGCGCCCCCAGCACACTGAGTTAATGGGATTGTAACGTAGTGCGGTTATCAATGAAAGAGAAAAGGGTTGAGTCCTTTCTTTGGGGGGAGTAGGGGGAGCACACCCAGCCATGCTCAGGGTTTACTCCTGATTTTGTGCTGGGGGGGTAGGGGCGGGACTCCATATGGGGTGCCAAGGACCAAGCCCAGGTCAGTTGCTTCAAGGCAAGTGCCCTGCCTTGCTTTTACCATCACTCCAGCCCCTGGAAGGGTTTGGGTGCAGTTGACTGCGTTCCGGTGAATGATTGGGGGCTGGAGCACAGCTAGGTGCACACTCAGAGAAGGAACAAGGTTTGGACTAGGTTTTGTAAATTGATCAGGGCTTGAGGTCTGGAAGCCCTCTGAGGAAATAGCTTTTTGAAGGGACACGGTTCCTACCAGACTCAGGAACCCGTGAAAAGTAGTGGAAGGTTTGGCTGGTGATGTCTGCAGGACTGGGAAGCTGGCCTTCTCCAGACCCTGTTCTTTAAACTTGCGGTGTGAGTGAGTGCTCTTGTTCCCTCTAGTGGATTTTGCTTCTCTGGGCTCTCGCTGCAGTCCCTATGCCCTTTACCCTGGGGTAAAGTCAGGCCTCCGGAGATTGATTTGGGCTTTTGAACGCATCAGCCCAGGTGCATTCTAGACTCTACAGAGTCTTGCCTGGGCACACACCATGCTGCTTCCATGCTCATGGGTCCCTGCCGACCAGGACTGCCCTCTTGCTCCTGAACCACTGAGAAGATGCAGGAAAATTCAAGGTCCGGACTCTTCATAGCTCCTTGTTTGTTTGGTTGGCACTTGAGGCCCCTTTTGGCCAAGTGAGTCTTGCTTGTCTCACGAGAGGGCCATGTTTGACTCCGGCTGATGTTCCCCTAGAAGCTTGTGGTGTTCCTGACTCCAGTTCCAGTCGTCAGCCAGCGGGGTGGTTGTGGGTGGCATCTGAGCCTGTTGAAAGTGCTTGACACTCAGCCAATGGCGAACAACTGCATCACCCTGCCCCGTGCTTCTTTTGAGCCCATTTCAGCCCATTTCTCCTCTGTTCTTCGTGCCTTAGAGCCCAGTGTCTCTCCTCCAGTCCCTGCTACTCCTGATCTCTCTCACCCACTTTCTCTATTACAAATGCCATGTTCAAGCAGTCTGCCCGCTGGGCAGAGGTGTCCATGTTCCCTGCCCTTTCATAACTCTGGTGACTCTTATTGCCAGGGGGAAAGTGTGGGGACCCAGCCTCATGCCCGGTACTCTGCATGTCTGCTCTTGGTGCTGGGTTCCCCCCCACCACCACTGGCCCTTATAGCATCTGCTTAAATTCTCTTCTTATTTTTCCTGTGCTCTTGCTCAAGTCCATGGAGTGCCTCTGTGCTCGGCCTCTCAGCTCCGAGGATTCTCGAAGACTCATGGCTCCCTGACTCATCCGCTGAAAAGCTCTGAACTTGTCCTTCCGTGGTGGCATGATGGGGATGCGAAGTCACCCTCAGAGGGTGTGGGTCTAGGGACGAACGTTGGCCCCTGCCCTGCAGACATGCTTTACTCTGGAGTGTTCTGAGGGTACCCCAGAGCCCTGTTATGAAGGTCAAGGAGAAGCCACCTCAGCAGGGTGTCCCTCTCTGTCCCCAGGCCCCAATGCAGAGAGCCAGCGGCCACCAAACACCTACAATGGGGACCTCAATGGGCTCCTGGTTCCAGACCCTCTCTGCTCGGGTGACGCCACCTCAGCAAGCAAGTCTGGCCTCCGCACCATGCCACCTCTCAGCCTGCAGGAGAAGCAGGTCATGTGAGTACCGGGGAGATGGCAACGGTGGTGTTGGGGTCTTCGACAGGAAATGAGGGGAGGGAACTGCCTCTGGGGCCTTAGCTGGCCTGGGGATGTCCTGTAGCTGCACTGGACCTGCACTTAGACTAGGATGCAGCTGAGCACCAGCTCCCAGTGCGTTGGGGCTGGGGTTCTTGTTGGTTACAGAAGCAGGCCGGTTCCAGGGTGTGGGCGGGAAAGAACCAAGCAGCGTGTGTAACCTTTACCAAGTCCTTCTCCCCTCCCTACCCATCGAGACTTGGGGTAACCAAGAGTACCTTCCCCCCTCCTCCCCCAGCTGCCTGTCAGGAGATGACAGTTCTACCTGTATCGGGATTTTGGCAAAAGAGGTGGAGATTGTGGCCAGCAGTGACTCGAGCATCTCAAGCAAGGCTCGTGGGAGCAACAAGGTGAAGAAGGGATACTGTGGGTGGAGGCGGGTCGGAGCACTCCGGCCTCTCCCTCCCGCCAGGCTGCGGCTCCTCCGTGGACCACCCTGACAGCTCGCTTAGTCCCCTGCATGCCAGGGCTGGTGGGCAGGGAATGGTGGGAATCCTGTCCCAGAGTTGTGACCTGGTGGGGTTTGTGCACGAGATCTCTCCTGAACCCAGGGATGCTGCCCCAGCCCTTGAGCTTCTTTGCACGTCACCTTTGGTTCTCAGGTGAAAATCCAGCCTGTCGCCAAGTACGACTGGGAACAGAAATACTACTATGGCAACCTGATTGCCGTGTCCAACTCCTTCTTGGCTTACGCCATTCGGGGTGAGTGTGAGCAGGCAGTGGAAGGAGGCATTCTGCTGACCACACTAGGGGTGCCGATGAAGAGAGTCAGCCCTTTGGGGTACAGTGTCAGGCCCATCTGTGCTGCCCATGCACAGGGAGCCTTGGGCCTTGGGGGAGCTGGGCGGGAGCTCGGAGCCTGAAACTGGCGATGCGAGCAGGCGGGCAGGCCAGAGCCATGTTCCTCGGCCACTGCCCGGGCCTGAATCCTCGCTCTCGGCTCCACTCCTGCTTGCAGCCGCCAACAATGGCTCCGCGATGGTGCGGGTGATCAGCGTGAGCACTTCGGAGCGGACCCTGCTCAAGGGCTTCACGGGCAGCGTGGCCGACCTGGCCTTCGCGCACCTCAACTCGCCACAACTGGCCTGCCTGGACGAGGCCGGCAATCTCTTCGTGTGGCGCTTGGCCCTGGTTAATTGCAAGATTCAGTATCCTTTGCCCGGGCTTGGAGCAGAGGGAGGGTGGGTGGAGCGAGGCCTGCCAGACACACCGCGTCAGCCGTCTGGCCGGCCCTTAACGCCCTGTTCAGGGAAGAGATCTTGGTCCACATCCGGCAGCCGGAGGGCACGCCGCTGAACCACTTCCGCAGGATTATCTGGTGCCCCTTCATCCCTGAGGAGAGCGAGGACTGCTGTGAGGAGAGCAGCCCCACGGTGGCCCTGCTGCATGAAGACCGGGTAAGGAGGGGCTGCCCCCGGGGACAGGGGCAGTGTGGCCGTGGGGCAGCCTGCTCACCGCTCTGTTCCCCCCCCACGCCCCCAGGCTGAGGTGTGGGACCTGGACATGCTCCGCTCCAACCACAGCACCTGGCCAGTCGACGTCAGCCAGATCAAACAGGGCTTCATCGTGGTAAAAGGCCACAGCACAGTAAGCCTGCAGCTGACCACGCCCCTGCCGCCGCCTTCTTCCTGCTGTTCCTCCTCTCTCCCCTTGGCCCACAACTGCCGGCGCCTCTGCTCGAGGGGACTGCGCACAGGGATCTTCCCCTGAGGGCTCAAATCCTGCTGTCCCCGAGGCCTGAGAGACGGGACAGGGGTTAAGTCACCTGCCTCGTGTGCAGCCCATCCGGGTGGGCGCCTCAGCCCCGCACAGCACAGGGTCCCCTGTGCATTGCCAGGAGCTATCGTGGAGCATCCCCGGTGTGGTAGCCAAAACCCCCCTCCTCAAAGACGAGACAGAAAAAGCACGGCTGCTGTGTGGGTCAGCCTGGCTCGCGCCCGTCCTCATCTGGGAAGGGCTTGTTCCGCTGCAGGTGGGTGTAAAGCCAGGCTCTTTGGGTTCTTCCCAGTGTCTGAGCGAGGGGGCCCTCTCCCCAGACGGGACTGTCCTGGCCACCGCGAGTCACGATGGCTTTGTCAAGTTCTGGCAGATCTACATTGAGGGCCAGGATGAGCCCAGGTAAGGTGGGGTCTGTGGGCCAGTGTCCCTCCCCTCCCCCCAGACCCTCGCCGCTCACTCCTCCTGCTCGCCCGCAGGTGTCTGCATGAGTGGAAGCCTCATGACGGGCGCCCCCTCTCCTGCCTCCTCTTCTGTGACAACCACAAGAAACAGGACCCTGAGTGAGTGGGTGGGCAGACCGGGTGGGCCGAGGGCCCTGGGCTCCCAGCTGAGGGCCTGACCAGCCACTCGGTGCCTTGCTGCCCCGCAGGGTCCCTTTCTGGCGGTTCCTCATCACTGGTGCTGACCAGAACCGGGAGCTTAAGATGTGGTGCACGGTGTCCTGGACCTGCATGCAGACCATCCGGTGAGCCGGCGTGGGGCGGGCTGGGGTCGGGGTCTCCAATCCTCTCAGCCACGCTCATCCTGCCTTGCTCCCCACCCCCCAGCTTCTCCCCAGACATCTTCAGCTCCGTGAGCGTGCCCCCCAGCCTCAAGGTTTGCCTGGACCTTTCTGCCGAGTACCTGATTCTCAGCGATGTGCAGCGGAAGGTAGGCAGCGGGGTGGGGGCACAGCCTGGACCAGGCTGGTGGCGCTGGGAAGGCCGCGGCCCCCGCGCCACCTCTGACCTCGGCGGGGCGCGCACCGCCCGGGCAGGTCCTGTACGTGATGGAGCTGCTGCAGAATCAGGACGAGGGCCGGGCCTGCTTCAGCTCCATCTCCGAGTTCCTGCTCACCCACCCCGTGCTCAGCTTCGGCATCCAGGTTGTGAGTCGCTGCCGGCTGCGGCACACGGAGGTGCTGCCCGCCGAGGAGGAGAATGACAGCCTCAGCGCTGGTGAGTGCAGGCCGGGGGTGCGTGATGGGCGCGCGGGAGGGTGCTGGGGGCTCAGTAGCCGCACTGTCCTCACAGATGGGCCCCATGGAGCTAATCCCGCGGAGTCCGCAGCCGGTGTGCTCATCAAGCTCTTCTGCGTGCATACTAAGTGAGTGTTGGGGACCTCCCCCACTCCCCCCCCCCCCCCGCCTCTGCCCCGGAGCGCTCTCAAGTGCCCCTTTCTCTTCCCACAGGGCGTTGCAAGATGTGCAGATCCGCTTCCAGCCGCAGCTGAACCCTGACGTGGTGGCCCCGTTGCCCACCCACCCTGTCCACGAGGACTTTGGTGAGTGGGGGGAGAGCGAGGGGAGCAGAGACGCTCGCTTTCCCTGCGTGCGGGCTCACGTGTGCGGCCTCCCCCACAGCCTTTGGGGAGTCCCGGCCCGAGCTGGGCTCCGAGGGCCTGAACTCCAGCGCGCACGGCTCGCAGCCTGACCTCCGGCGCCTGGTGGAGCTGCCCGCGCCCGCCGACTTCCTCAGCCTGAGCAGCGAGGCCAAGCCCAAGCTGATGACGCCCGACGCCTTCATGACGGCCAGCACCTCCCTGCAGCAGGTGGGCCAGGGGAGCGGCCCAGAGCTCCAGGCGGGAGGCGCGGACGCGGCTGGTCCAGGGCACAGCCCCCCTCTCCGCGTCCCCCAGATGGCGGTGTCGCCCGGCGGCAGCAGCAGCTCCAGCTCCAGCTCCAGCTCGTCTCTCACAGCCGTGTCTGCCATGAGCAGCACCTCCACGGCGGACCCTGCCTTGCCCAGGTGAAGCGGCGTTAGGATGGGGTCAGAGTGGCCGGGCTTCCGGGGCCTGGGCGCTGATACCTCCACTCTCCTGCCCCCAGGCCCCCCGAGGAGCTGACCCTGAGCCCTAAGCTGCAGCTTGAAGGTGGCCTGAGCGTGAGCAGCGGCAGCCTGCAGGGCAGCCCACGCGGCCTCCTGCCCGGCCTGCTCCCAGGCCCGGCCGACAAACTCCCTCCCAAGGGGCCGGGCCAGGTGCGTGAAGCGCAGGGGGGCAGCGGGAAGGTTGGCCGGGCGCCTCACGGCCAGCTTGCTCAAGAGGCCACGTTTCCCCTGAGGGTCCCGGGAGGCAGCTCCTCGGCCGCTCCGTCGGGGACCGCGGGCATGTTTGGCCCGCGTCCCCTCCCTCCTCGCCAATGCCTCCTCTCTGCAAATGCCGGTGCTGCCTCCTCTCCAGCCCGCCCCGCCTCCCACCTCCTGAGCCCCGGTCTTTGGCCACTTCAGGTACCTACTGCTGCCTCTGCACTGTCCCTGGAGCTACAGGAAGTGGAGCCCCTGGGGCTCCCCCAGGCTTCTCCCAGCCGCACCCGTTCCCCCGATGTTATCTCCTCAGCCTCCACCGCCCTGTCCCAGGACATCCCCGAGATTGCGTCTGAGGCCCTTCCCCGTGGCTTTGGCGCCTCGGCGCCTGAGGGCCTGGAGCCAGACAGTATGGCCTCTGCGGCCTCGGCACTCCACCTCCTGTCCCCTCGGCCCCGCCCGGGTTCCGAGCTTGGTCCTCAGCTTGGCCTGGATGGAGGCCCGGGGGACGGGGATCGGCACAGCACTCCCTCCCTCCTGGAAGCAGCCTTGACCCAGGAGGCCACAGGCGCTGACAGTCAGATCTGGCCCACGGCCCCCGACATCACTCGCGAGACCTGCAGCAGCCTTGGGGAAAGGTGTGGCCCTGGGGAGAGGCAGGGTGCCGCGGGCGGGGGGCTCCAGAGCGAGGCCTCCGCTGCTGAGTGGGCCTGCCCCCCGCCCAGCCCCAGAAACGGCCTCCAGGAGAAGCACAAGAGCCTGGCCTTCCACCGGCCTCCCTACCACCTGCTGCAGCAGCACGACAGCCAGGACGCCAGTGCCGAGCAGAGGTGGGTGCCGGGCAGTGGTGGGCGCGCTCGGGGGCAGCCGCGGGGGTTGGCGGGCGCTGATCCCTCCCCGCCCTCCCTCCCGCAGCGACCATGATGACGAGGTGGCCAGCCTCGCCTCCGTGTCAGGGGGCTTCAGCCCCAAGGTCCCCGCACCACGGCTGCCCGCCAAGGACTGGAAGACCAAGGGATCCCCTCGGGCCTCCCCAAAGCTTAAAAGGAAGGGCAAGAAGGAGGACGGGTGAGTGGGTCGGGGCGGAGCTGGCTTGTCCCAGCTACCTGCCCCGCAAGGCCTGAGCTGCTGCTCTCCTTGGTAGGGATCCAGCGGTGGGGCCACGGCACGCAGAGCACCAGGTGAGTCAGCCAGCACCCTGGCTCCTGCGGGGTTGCTCCCTCCGAGGTAGTGGGGGGCCAGAGGTGAGGTGGGGTGGGGTGGGGGCAGGTGACATGTGCTGCTGCTCTGGGCAGGTGGTGGAGCCCCCTGAGGACTGGCCGGCGCTGATCTGGCAGCAGCAGAGAGAGCTGGCGGGGCTGCGGCACAGCCAGGAGGAACTGCTGCAGCGTCTGTGCGCCCAGCTGGAAGGGCTGCAGAGCACCGTCACGGGCCACGTCGAGCGAGCGCTCGAGTCCCGGCACGAGCAGGAGCGTATCCTTGGGCAGCGAGGGCCGCGGCGTGGCCGGGGTGGGGGCAGAGGCGTCGTCCCTGGCTTGCGAGGGGACACGGGGCCGGTCTGCTTCCTTAGCTGCGGTGCAGAGCGGCGGCTGGAGCGGGCGCTGGCCGAGGGGCAGCAGCGGGGCGGGCAGCTGCAGGAGCAGCTGACACAGCAGCTGTCCCAGGCTCTGTCTTCGGCTGTGGCCGGGCGGCTGGAGCGCAGCATCCGGGACGAGATCAAGAAGACGGTGCCTCCATGTGAGTGGTTTTTGCGTCGGGGGGGCTTTTGGGTTTTTGTTTCAGTTTGGGGGTCACACCCAGTGATACTCAGAGGTCACTCTAGGCTCTGCATTCTCGGGAATTAGAGCTGGCAATGCTTGGGGGATCATATGGAAGGATTGAAGGATTGAACCTAGGTCGGATACATGCTAGGTAAATGCTGTACCCACTGTATTATCTCTACAGCCCCAGTTTTGGGTTGTTGGTTAATTTCGGTGTGGGGGCCAGTAGTGCTCAGAATTACTCCTGCTCTGTGCTCCGGAACACTCCTGGTGGGGCTCAAGGAATCATATGGAGTTTCAGGGGTTAAAACTGGGTCAGCTGCATATAAGGCAAACAGCCTCTCTGGTCCGTTTCTGGGTTTTTCTGATTTTTTCTCCTCCCCCTGCAGTGACTAAGGTTTCACACCCTTGGTTGTGATGCACACCAGCTTGTGCTTGCACACGTGCTCACTGGAGGGTGCTTTTTTCAAATTTGCTTTTTGGGGGCGCCATATCCAGCTCTCTTCAGGTCTGCTCTCAGCTCCGAGCTTGGGGGTCAACTCCTGGCAGTGCTCGGGACCCCTGTGGGGCTAGCATTAGAAGCCGGGGCTCCCACACGCAGGGTGAACGTCCAGCCCTCCAAGCTGTGGCCCCGATTGTGCCTCTCAAGCACATCGTGGTGGCAGTGCTCATGCTCTCATAGTTTAGTCGTGGTGCTCACGAGGGATCTCACACGCTTGCGGTGCACGGAGACGCACGCTATGCTGTGGCACCGGATGACTGTTGCGAGAACTTCACTCAGCCTGTGGGGCGGTGCCAGGGGTGGAAATCACGGCTTCATGCCCACAAGGCAGCCAAGCCCCTCGTGGGAGACTGCTGGGTGGGTCAGGTGGGAGGGGACTCCCTCCCACTTAAGATTCCTCTCCTGATCCCCACCGCACCCTCCTCCCCCTACCTAGGTGTCTCTCGGAGCCTGGAGCCCGTGGCAGGCCAGCTGAGCAGCTCAGTGGCCACCAAGCTCACAGCAGTGGAGGGCAGCATGAAAGAGAATATCTCCAAGCTGCTCAAGTCCAAGGTACGCTCGAGCCCCAGAGGAGGGAGGGGGATGGTTTCAGGCCTGCTCAGGCCTGAGACTCGGTTCCTCTCTCTGTGCCCAGAACCTGACAGACGCCATCGCCCGAGCAGCTGCAGACACGTTACAGGGGCCGATGCAGGCTGCCTACCGTGAAGCCTTCCAGAGTGTGGTGCTGCCCGCCTTCGAGAAGAGCTGCCAGGCCATGTTCCAGCAGATCAATGACAGCTTCCGGCTGGGCACGCAGGAGTGTGAGTGAAGTCCTGTGGCCCCAGGCGGGAGGGCCTGTCCCCTCTGCCGCCACCCTCCCTCTCAAGGCCCTGTGGTCTCCTCAGACTTGCAGCAGCTTGAGAGCCACATGAAGAGCCGGAAGGCCCGGGAGCAGGAGGCGCGCGAGCCAGTACTGGCCCAGCTGCGAGGACTTGTCAGCACACTGCAGGGCGCCACTGAGCAGATGGCCGCCACCGTGTCCAGCAGCGTTCGGGCTGAGGTGCAGCACCAGCTGCACTTGGCTGTGGGCAGGTGGGTGGACAGGCCACTGGGCAAGGTGGAGGGTTCGGGCCCTGCCAGCCTGGGCTCCTGTCTACCTCAGCCCCCGGCTTCCCTTTGCAGCCTGCAGGAGTCCATTCTGGCGCAGGTGCAGCGCATCGTTAAGGGTGAGGTGAGCGTTGCACTCAAGGAGCAGCAGGCAGCAGTCACGTCCAGCATCATGCAGGCCATGCGCTCGGCCGCTGGCACACCAGTTCCTGCCGCCCACATTGACTGCCAGGCCCAGCAAGCCCACATCCTGCAGCTGCTGCAGCAGGGCAACCTTAACCAGGCCTTCCAGCAGGTACGCCAGGCAGAGGCTCAGCTGACAGCCGGCTGTGCCCGCTCAGGGCCCTCCCGCCAGCTCTTGGGCCCTCTCCATTGTGGACAGTTTCTGCTGCTTTCTGGCCTCCACGCCATTTCCCCTGCCGATCTCACTGCCTGGAACCCATTGCCTGTTCCTTCTGTCAGCCCAACTCGTTTCCTGCCTACCTTTCTCAGCACATCGTTTCTAAGAACCCCCTTATGCCCTAGAGCAGGGGTGGGCACGTCGTCCATGGGCCGCGTCATGTAAGGCCTGTGAAACCATGGGGTCTCCCTGGTTCATGATGGGACAGACACATCTGCTGCTTGACTGTGCCTGCAGCCCTACTGTGTGGATCGTATGGCCCATGAATGATGTTAGAAACAGCCAGAGGGCTCTTGGTAGGAAAAGGATCCCCGCCTCCTGCCCTGGGGGTGCACATCCTGGGGAGCGCTCTCAGAGCCTCAATACCTGGCAGGGTCCTCTCCCAGGCTACACAGCCAGAGCGGCAGGACTGACGTTAGCTCTGGCCTCTTCCTGGGACCAGAGATCAGACAACAAGGAAGGTGCTAGCCTTGCCCGTGGCAGACGCGGGTTCAGTCCCCCGTATACCACAGACAGACGCTGAGCCACTGCCAGCCGTGACCCCTGAGAGGAGTAAGCCCTGTCACCGCTGTCTGTGTTTCAGAAACAGGACATAAAAGCCACTCTTCTTACCCTAGGCCCTGACAGCTGCCGACCTGAACCTGGTGCTGTACGTGTGTGAAACCGTGGACCCAGGCCAGGTCTTTGGACAGCCGCCCTGTCCCCTCTCCCAGCCCGTCCTGCTCTCCCTCATTCAGCAGCTGGCCTCTGACCTAGGCACTAGAACTGACCTCAAGCTCAGGTGAGTGGGTTCAGTGACTGACGAGGGGAGAGTCTGGGGGAGGCGGGGAACGTTTTTTCAAAGCACAGACTCCCACTTTCCCACGACTCCCCCACCTGATTTCTCCACTGAACCCCTGGGCCTGCCTTGTCAGCAGCGCCTGTAGGCCTCAGTGCCACCAGGTGGCGCTCCCACCCACTGGAACCTACCTGTAGCCTGTTCCCTTTTTCCACCCCCAGCTACCTGGAAGAAGCTGTGATGCACTTGGACCACAGTGACCCCATCACTCGGGACCACATGGGCTCCGTCATGGCCCAGGTGCGCCAGAAGCTTTTCCAGTTCCTGCAGGCTGAGCCACACAATTCCCTTGGAAAAGTGGCCCGGCGGCTCAGCCTCATGCTGCACGGCCTCGTGACACCCAGCCTCCCTTAACTAAGCCGGCCGTGCCTAAGGGCGGGATGGCACCAGATGCCAGCAAACAAGCAGGCCTAGGCCAGGAGGGCAGGTTCTGTCTGCCCTTAACCTGCTCAGGCTCCCACTTCGGGGTGTTTGGGGTGGGGGGAGTGCAGGTTATGGTAGCAGCAGGTTAGGCTGGACCCAGGTTGGATATCGTGCCTTCTTGGGTTCCACCATGCCTGGAGCATGACCCCCGAGATCGTGACACCATTTGAGTTGAATTTTCCATGTTCCTTTTTACCTCCAATTTGGATCTTTTTGTTTTTGAAAAACACTGAGAAATTCGATTAAATGCTTTTGGAATAAAATGAAGCATGTGTTAGTGTTTCTTTGGTGTGACTTTGAGAACTACCTCCCCCTTCCCCCCGTCTCCCCAGATACAGCTGTCCAGAGCCTGCCTAACTTGTACAGCAGTTTATTGTATTTATTTACCGATTTGGTTTTTGGTATCTACAGTGCCCAGAGGCTACTTCCAGCTTAGGGCACAGGGGTCAGTCTCAGCAGTGTTAAGACCATGTGTGGTGCCCAGGATCAGACGTACAGTTTCTGCAAACAAGCATGCATTCCTCCACTCCAGCCCTTCAAGTTATCTCCCCAGTCCCTAAAACCTTCTTAAACTGTGGGTTGTGGCGATACCCAGCAGTGCTTACGGCTTATTTCACTCCTCACTCTGTGCTTAGGTATCACGTGTGATGCTCAAGAGACTACATATGATGCCAGGGATCAAGCTGATGTCAGCCATGTAGTTTTTGGTTTTGGGACATGCCCAGTGGCGTTCAGGGGTTACTCCTGTATCCAGAAATCACTCTGGCAGCGTTTGGGGGACCATATGGAATTCCAGGGATCGAACCTGGGCCAATTGCATGCAAAGCAAGCACCTTCTCCTCTGTACTACCTTTCTGACCCAGACGCCAGCTGTTTGTAAACTAAGTTCCTTAGTCCCTATACTATCTCTCCAGCTCCAGACTTATTTATATTTATTTTTGGCTTTTTGGGTCACACCCGGTGATGCTCAGGGGTTACTTCTGGCTCTGCACTCAGGAATCATTCCTGGCAGTACTCAGGGAAATATGGGATGCTGAGGATTGAACCCAGGTCGGCCACATGCAAGGCAAATTACTTACCCACTGTGCTTTGCTTCGGCCCCTCCAGACTTTTTTTTTTTTTTTTTGCTTTTTGGGTCACACCCAGCAATGCACAGGGGTCACTCCTGGCTCTGCACTCAAGAATTACTCCTGGCGATGCTCAGGAGACCATATGGGATGCTGGGAATTGAACCCGGGTTGGCCACATGAAAGGCAAACGCCCTACCCGCTGTGCTATTGCTCCAGCCCCTCCAGACTTTTAAAATTGTTTCAAGGGCCAGAGAAATAGTACAACAGGTAAGGCTTTCCTTGTATATGGCCAATTGGGATTCTATTTCTGGCACCACGTAATAGTCCCTTGGGTACCATGAGGAGTGATCCCTGAACACTGCCAGCAGAGACCCTGAGTACAGGACCAGGAGCAGACTCTGGGTACTCTTGGTATGGGCCTAACTTTCTTTATAATTTATTGTTTCAGAAACTAAGTTTTTTTTTTTTATGATTGTCAGTAAATATTTGCTTTGTATATTTTTTTTGTGGGGGAGTCACCTGACAATGCACAGTTGTTACTACTGGCTCTGCACTCAGGAATAACTCCTGGCAGTGCTCGGGGAACCATATGGTATGCTGGGAATCGAACCCAGGTCGGCCACATGCAAGGCAAACTTCCTACCCACTATGCTATTGCTCTAGCCCTGCTTTGTATATGTTTTATATAGCTATATACCCATAATCACATAAAAATTTCTCTGTGAGGGACTGGCGTGATAGTCCAGGGACTAAATTGTTTGCCTTGCATACAGCCTATCTGGATTTGATCCCCATCACCCACTAAGGTCCGCGAGCCACCAGAAGTGATTCCTGAGCCCAGGGCCAGGGAAAAGCCCTGAGCACTGCTGGGTATGACCCAAAAATCAAACAACCATCCTCCATAAATCTCTCTTGACAAATAAGGGTCTCAAGTGGGAAAAGTTGAAGCAGCTCCAGGCCAGCTCTGCACAGTTGTCTCCCCAGAGGTCCCCGTCCCATCTCTGGGGCAGGAGCCTGGAGACAGTGGAACACTGACCTGTGCCTCTGGACGTCTGTCCCTTTGGGTTCCCTGCTCTGTGCCAATCTGGGAAAGTGGGTGGAGCCGACAGCTGATTCCGAGCCCCGCCCCGAAGCCCTAGCCAATCACAGCCCCTGCTTCCGGGGGCTGGGCCTGAGGCTGCACTCCAGACCGGCGGCTCTGGCACTTGGCTCCCAGCCGGGGACGATGCGCCGCTGCTGGAGCTGCCCTCGCCAGCGACCACGGGGCTCGCCGCGCTTCTTGCTGCTGCTGCCACTTGGTAAGGGCGGGCGAGCTGGACCCCCCCAGGCCACGCGGCCTAGGGCCAGGCTGGGTATAGAGAGTATATGGGAGCCAGGGGCACGGCTTGCCTGTGCCCTGGGAGCTGAATGGAGAGATGGGGTGGGGTGGGGGGGTCCAGGGAGGACTAACTTCAGGGTGGAGATTGAGGGGCGTGAGCCAAGCCCAAATGTGGGAGAGGGACCCTAAAATTCTAAACTCCCCATTCTCGAAGGTATGGCCCTGTGGCACTGTTAAGTCAGCCACGGGCTCGTTCAGTCCCCTGTTAGGACCTGGCACAGATGCAGATGCCTCTGTCCTGCCCGGTCTGAGAACACCTGTGTCTGGGGGCCAGGTGGGGGAGTCCAGCAAAATTTGGCTGCAGAGACTGGACGGTTCAGGGGGGTCCTATAACCCCAGACCCTACCCCCTCTTCACCTTGTCCTCACTCTGTTTGCACCATCCTCACCCAGAAGCTCAGAGGAAGAGTACCAGGTCCCGTGGGATGTGAAGACCCCTCCCCTGGCAAATAACCTTTCCGGTTCCCCCTCAAAGTAGACAGAGGCCACTGCCGGTGATCCTCAGACATGCCCCTAAGTTCCCTGGGGGTGCCCCTGACATGCTGAGTCACGTCCCCAGAGCACACCAGGGTAAACAAGTCCCCAGGGATTGGGGGCAGGCCTGCTCACCCTATTAACTGTGTGTCCCCCCCCACCCCCAAGTTCTTGTGTCTCCCCTGGCAGCAGCCGCAGCGGGCCCGGGTGGCTGTGACAACATATACCAGGGTTTTGCACAGTGTCTCATCCGCCTGGGAGACGGCATGAGTCGCGGAGGCGAGCTGGAGACTGTCTGCAGGTACTGGAAACTGGGGGCAAGAATGAGAGCAACAGCCCAAACGGATCCCCCAGCCATGAGGCGCCTGGACCTCTTCCTTTCCATCCCTAAGCCTTCTTGTGCCTAAATCTCCCTAACCCTGTGCCCTCCACAGGTCCTGGAATGAATTCCACACCTGTGCTTCACAAGTCCTGTCGGGCTGCCCGGAGGAGGCAGCAGCCGTGTGGGAGTCGTTACAGCAAGAAGCTCGGCGGGCCCCGCATCCGGATAACTTGCACGCCCTGTGCAGCGCCTCGGTGCGTGTGCGTGAGCACGGCGCAGGCCCAGAGACCAACCAGGAGACTCTGCGGGCATTTACACCTGCAGCCGCCGCAGCCCCCACCCCCTGGCTGCTCGCCGCTGGCCTGGCGCTGGCCTGCCTCCTGGGGCCTCTGGCCTAACCATGTCCCACACCTTCAGCTCTGCTCTGCCGCTGCCTTCAGGGCTCTGTAGAGCAATTCGGGCTTTCATTAAAGGTATTTATATTTGTACTAAACTCCTTCCCTTCTTGTGGTGGTGCTTGCGGGGCTGGGCTGTGGCCTCCAGAAGCTGATCCCCAGGACGGGATGGGTGGGGCCAAAGGCCATCGCAGGGGACACAGTCTCTTGCAAACACTCCTTCCCAGGGGAGACAGCTTTCCATTGCGCACTCCTGAAGCCGGAACACACACTTCTTCTCCTTTGCTGCTTCCCCTCTTATCCTGGCCCCTGGAGGTCCTGTGAGGTTGCATTTCGCCCCCCCCTCTCAGTTACAGCAAGCCCCCCCTCCCCAGGCTTATTCCAGTCTCCAGCTTTCACCACCTCCCCCTGCCGGGCCGCCACCAGGATACTGTTATGGCCTCTAAGAAGCTCCAGGGTAAGCTTTCTGGCCTCTCCCTTTCTGGGGTCCTGGCCCATCCAGGGGGCCCCCATTCCATAAGGTGGGACACTCCTTTCAAAGGTGACCTTCCAGTCCCTGAGGTGGCCCATGCTGCAGAAACGGATCACAAGGGGGTTCCTCTGATCTCGGCAGCCTTGAGAAGAGGTATGCAGCTTGGAGACAAAGCGGCCAGAAGGTTCCTGGAGGCTTCAGATCAGACTGTGGAGTGTGGTGCGTGATGTGAGGTGTGGGTGTGAGGTGGTGTGGGTGAGGTTTGGGTTGTATGTGGTGTCAGGTGTGTGGTTTGTGATATGAAGTGTGAGATGGATGCATGGTTTGGGTGGTATGGTGTGATGTGTAGTATGGTGTGTGGTGTGTGGTATAGTGTATGGTGTGTGCATGTGGTATGTATGGTTTGTGGGGTGATACAGTGTGAGTTGTGTGTGTGGTATGGTGTGTGATATATGGTATGGTATGGTATGAGGTGTGTTATGGTATGGTGCGTGTGTATTATGGTGTGAGGTGTGTGGTGTGATGTGTGGTATGAGGAGTGTGTGTAGAGGGTGGTGTGTGGTGTGTGGGGAGCCCCTATCGATCCTGTGGAGAGAAAGAGCCAGAATCTGCACTGGGCTGGGGAGATGGTTCAAACAACTTGAGGGCAGAATCCCCGGGTTCAATCTCTGGCACTGCACAGTTCCCCAAATTCCTGTGGGCAGTCTGGAGGGGAGGGAGCACCTCGGAGAGGTGAGATTGGCTTTTGTTCCTGCCTCCACACTGTAATCTTCGGGCCTATCGTCTGTGCCGGCTTCTGTTTGCATGCCTGTCACTTTCTGCCCGTTTTCTTTTTGCTTGTTATCCCCCCAGCCCACATGCCTCCCCACTCCCTGCTGTCGAGCCGGGGATCTTACCTGCCGTACTTACTATCCCTCTGGCCCGTTTTCTGACTTGAACAACTCCTTTCGAGGCTGAGCTCCTTCTGTGTGCAGGTTCCACACTCGCCAGCTCCCCTAGAGTTGCCTCGGTAGCAGCAGCCCTGGTGGTGGTGGTGGCGGGGTGGGGTGGGGGGAATAAGGCCGCAGAGATGGCGCACCCCCACAGAGGGAATGCAGTTTACAGCTGGTGGGCTCAAGCAGTAGTACAGCGGGTAGGACACTTGCACACAGCCGACCTGGGTTCAACCTCCAGCATCCCATATGGTCCCCTGAGCACTGCCAGGAGTGATCCCTGAACATAGCCAGGTGTGGTCCAAAATCCAAAACCAAACCTAAACAAACAGCTGGGGAAAGAAAGGGGGGCTGAGTGGAAGAGGGCTGACTGGGAGGAAACCAAGCAGCCAGGAGCCAGGAAAATCGGGTTTTTTTTTGTTTTCTTTGGCCACCCACATCTAGTAGAGTTTAGAAGCTATTCCCAGCACAGTGTTTTGGGGGGTCACTCCTGGTGGGGGGGAAGCATGTGGTCCCAGGCCTGAAACCAGGCCTCCTGCACGCAGAGCCTGCGCTCCAGCAATCGGAGCCATTTCTTTTTTTCTTTTTTTAGTTATTTTTCTTTTTGCTTTTTGGATCACACCCAACAATGCTCAGGGGTTATTCCTCGTGGTGCTCAGGGGACCATATGGGATGCTGGGATTGAACCCGTCCACTGAGTGCAAGGCAAAGCCCTCCCCACTGTATTATCATATTATTGCTCCAGCCCCAAGCTGAGCCATTTCCCCAGCCCCAGGGCACATTTATACGAAAACTTTGCTGGGAGGTTATTGCCTAGAGAATAGAACTGGGGGGGGGGGGGGGAGAGAGAGAGAGAGAGAGAGAGAGAAGAGAGAATGAGAGGGGGGAGGGAGGGAGATAAGTAGGGAGGAAGGGGGAGAGGGAGAAAGGGAGAGAGAGCACAGTAGGTTGACCTGGGTTGACCTAGGTTATATCCCCAGTAGTTCACATAATTTCACATAGTTCCATGAGCCTGCCAGGAATGATCCCTGAGCACAGAGACAGGAGTAAACCCTGAGCACTGTCAGATGTTCCCCCCTCCCCCCCAATAAAAAAGAATTGGACCTGCTGGAGCTTCTGTTTAGGGTCCAGGATGAAAGAAACTCCCCAGGACCTCCACCTGCAGCATCCTGCTCTCTTCATGTCTCCAAAGACTTCTTCCACGACAGCTCCAGCTCCACAGCTCACTCGAATGATGCCCCATTAACTCCCTCTCTGCCCTCATTCCCTTTGCTCCTGGCTTTCATTCACCTGAACTTTTTTTTCCCACTTCTCTCTGCCAATCCACCTTACGCCTCTCCTCACAATACCTAGAAGAGAAAGTTCAGAAATAAAACCCCCTCCCAGAGGCCAGGGAGATAGCTCAAGTGGTGGAACACGTGCCTAGTATGTGCTAGGCCCTGAGTTAGATCCTTGGCACCACCTGGACATACCTGCCCTGGGCACGGCCCTGCTGCCCCCTGAGCAGCACCAGGTTCCAGCTCCGAGGCATCAGGTCTGTCCTGGCAGATGGAGCATCAACAGCAGGATGGGCTCTGGAGCACCCGTTTCCTCTACAGGCATCTCTGGATGTGGCTCCGATGGGGAACAAAACCAAAACACCTCCCAGATCAGCTCTTCCTCCCTTCTCTTTCCCAAGCACCAGACATTTCCAGAAAAGGGCAGCCTTTTATTCCTCTGTACATCCGTCCTCTGTGCTCAGAATCCCTTTCCTATTTCCTCCTGGGGAACTCCTACTTGTTGTTCAGTGTCACCTCCTCCAGGAAAGATTCTCTCTGACTCGAAGCTGAATCAGAGGCCTCCTACAGTCCACACAGCTTCTGGGGCGTTATTAGGTGTCAGTACAATAACACTCACTCACTGCCACCGGAGTGCAGGACAGAATTCCCTGCCATGGGGTAAGTTCTGTAAGGGCCTCATCAAGGCTCAAGTACCCAACCTCGGGTCGTGTCTAAAGAGTGTATTTGGGGGGCTGGAGCGATAGCACAGTGGGTAGGGCATTTGCCTTGCACGCGGTCGACCCGGGTTCGATTCCCAGCATCCCATGTGGTTCCCTGAGCACCTCCAGGAGTGACTCCTGAGTGTAGAGCCAGGAGTGACCCCTGTGCATTGCCGGGTGTGACCCAAAAAGATAAAAAAAAAAAAGAATCTCTAAGTCCAGCCTAGTAAGTGTTAAAGTTGGCAAGAGCTTGGGCTGAGAATGACCTCTGTGCAGAGGCTGTGTCTTCCTGAGGTGGCCTCCCCCAACTGGGGCGAACTTTGTTAGGGGCCAGGAGCAGCCTGTTTCTCCAGCAGGGGCCTGACAGCGCAGGCCAGCAGGAATAGGGATTACTACCCTCCTGCTGTGACCTGCTTTCCCCTGGTTTTGCTGCCTAAATCCCCAGAATCAGTGACCTGTGAGCTTCTAAGGGGTGGGGGTGGGGCCCAAGCCGCTTTGACTGCAGCTTACTGGCTTTGCAGTTGTGATCCCAGAGCTAGAGGGACGGGTGGGATGTTCCCCAGAGTCTCCTGGAATAGCTTTTGTTCAAGGGAATGGCTGGGGGACTGGATGTCCTGAGTTTGGTTTGCTCAACCTTCCACATACCTCCTCACCTCAGGGACTCCTGTTCTTCACCAGAACCCAGACCAGCCCCTACCCAGAGTTACGGCTTAAAACAAACTGGATTGAATTCACTTGCTTTATATCTATAAAGGGGTGGTAGGAGGGGCTGTTGTGTGACTAAGACCCATAAGCTCTGGAATTCTTTATTGTCTTGTTTGATTCTGGGCCATACCTAGCAGTGCTCAGGAGCCCCTCCTGGAAGTGTTTGGTGCTTGAGGGACCATTTGCAGTGCTGGAATTCAATCCAATATCACAATCACAGCTATGTGCTAGTCTAAACCCTGTACTTCTATAACTCCTATCTCTTCTATGTTACTTTTAAACCTCATAACAACTCTCTGGGAACAGGGCTGTGATCTACATACGAAATGCAGATGATGGGGCTAGGAGAGATAGTACAGCAGGGTGGGTGCTCACAGCTGACCTGGGTGTTCATTCCCTGGCACTGCTAGAAATGGTCCCAGAGATGGGGGCTGGAGTGATAGCACAGCGGGTAGGATATTTTCCTTGCATGCGGCCAACCCGGGTTCAATTCCCAGCATCCCATAAGGTCCTCCAGCACCACCAGGAGTAATTCCTGAGTGCATGAGCCAGGAGTAACCCCTGTGTATCGCCGGATGTGACCCAAAAAGAAAAAAAAAAGTAGTGGTCCCAGAGAGCAGAGCCAAGAGAAATACCTGAGCACTTCTGGGTATGCAGACAGGGAAGTTGGGGGGAGAGGGGGAGGGGAGGGAGGGAAGGGAAGGGGAAAAAAATGAAGCTGAAAGAGGGAGATGTAGGGCCCAGAGCTATAGTACAGTGGGTTGATTGTTTACTTCCCACATGGCTGATCTGGATATGATGCCTTGCAGGATGTATGGTCCCCCAGCCCCTGGTGTGGCCCCTCCCCCCAAAGAAATGGTGGTATGGGAGATGTCTTGCCCAAGGTCACACAACAGAAAATTTTTATCTTTTAAATAAAATATCTTATGAAACCCAACTGCAAAAAATAGACAAAATGGTGTTGTACCGAATTTTATTATTAGGTTTAAAGTTAATATTAGGTTAAGGTTAATATTAGGGGCTGGAGAGATAGTACAGAGGGTAAAGGTGCTTGCTTTGCACATGGTCAACCTGGTTTCAATTCCCAGCACCCCAGATGATCCCGTGAGCCCTGCCAGGACTGATCCAAGTGCAGAGCCAGGAGTAAGCCATGATCACCGCTGGGTGTGGCCTACAAACCAAAATAAATTAAAAAAATTAAAAATACAACTTGATTTTTGTTTCAGGGATACACTTAAATTTATTTATTTATTTATTTATTTTTTTGCTTTTTGGGTCATACCTGGCCATGCACAGGGGTTACTCCTGGCTCTGCACTCAGGAGTTACTCCTGGCGGTGCTCAGGGGAACATATGGGATGCTGGAAATCAAACCCCGGTCGGCTGCGTGCAAGGCAAACGCCCTACCCGCTGTGCTATCTCTCCAGTCCCACTTAATCACTTAATCACTTAACTTCCCGTTAGTCGTCGATTTGCTCGAGCGGGCGCCAGTAACGTCTCCATTTGTCCCTGTCGCGTGCTAGTGTAGCCCAATGGCATCTCTTCGCTCAGGGAACATGGAGGGCCTCAAACCGATCGTTCATGACCTTGACAAAGAAGTCTGACCATCTGGTAGGTGGGCGGCCACTCGGTCTCTTGACATACCGTGGAATCCAATCAGTAACAGCTCTAGTCCAACGGTCGTCTTTAAATCTCATTACGTGACCTGCCCATCTGATTTTCGACACCTTGGCAAAAAGCCCCACACTTAAATTTAATAACGATAACAATAATAAAAATACCAGCGTGCGGCTCAACCTCCCCTCCCAATCGCAAAAGTTATCCCAAACTACTGTCACTTATCCTCAAATTAGTGATCATGTATAATTATGATCGTTTATGCAGGCCACCTTTCACACATTCGATTGTCTGAACTATTTCAATCGCGGTAAAACAACAGATTTGTTAACTAATTTAAACCGATCCTTTGCCCACAGGCTTTTCCAGAAAGGACAGACCGCCCTAGCCCCTCGACAGAACCCTGAAACTCTCCCACCTTCCCGCGGTCCCTCCCCCTACCTACAAGTCCCGCCACACAGAGCCAGCTAGAACCACCCCCACCCGGGTAGTAGAGCCAGTCCCAGCCCTGAAGGCGATGATTGACAGGCCGCGCTCGGAGCGCCGCCAATCGCGTCTCGCGGCCCCGCGGGAGCCCGCCCCCCCGCCCCGCCCCGCCCCGTGGGCGGCCCGGGTTTGTTTTGGCGTCAAGTGCGCGCGGTGATGACGCCAAGACGCTGACGCCCGAGGATGGCGGCGGCGGCGGCGGCGGCGGCGGCGGCCTTGGCCGCGGCCCGGAGAGGGTCAGCACAGCCGCCGAGACGCCGAAGAGCCCGCCGCCCGCGCGAGGTGAGGCGGGCCGGCTCAGGGCGACGGCTCAGTGGGCGGGAGGGGCGGACGAGCTGCGGCCACGAGCGTTTCTTGGTGCCCCAGGCCCTGTGTCTGCCCAGCCCGGAGCCCTCGGCCCGTACCCGGTGCGCCAGGGCCTAACGCACGGGGGGAGCGTGCCCGGCCGTGCCAGGACCCTCCGTGCCCGAGGCTTCACCGGGCCGGAAACGTGGGCTTCACCGGGTGGTGCCCGCCAGGGCCCGCTGGACGCGGTCAGCCGCCCCAGCCCGCTGTGGAGCCCGCCGGTTCGCACTGCCGTCTCGTGGCCGACACCGACTCCACACCCCTTTGGCCACCGGTCGCCCGCCGGGAGCTGGCGGGGCCGCCGCTCCCTTCCTGGTTCCGGCGAGGAAAGGCAGGCCCGAGCCCCGGCGAGCCGCCCCGCAGCCATTCATCCCGCGCGGAAGGAAGCCCGGCCTCCCGCGCCCAGGCCCCCAGGGAGCGGGCAGCGCCGGCCCCTCCGAATGTCAGAATAAGTCGCCCGCTGCCCCCAAAGCTTGGTGCCCGTGGGATCAGGCCAGGCTTTCCGCGAGGGATGGGGAGCCTCATCCTGGGGGTCTGCTGGACGCCCAGTTCCCAGCACTTGGGCGCTTCCGTCTCCTCTCCACGTGGTTTTGCAGTTGGCGCTTGAAATGATCCGACTGTTTATAAGGCTTCGTCCTTCTAGTTGCCATTTTCTCAAGTAATACCCTTCCCTGTCTTTCCCTCCCCCCCCACCTCTACCGCTATTGGATGTTGACATCTGCCCTGTCAAGTCCTCCTGAGGTTGTATTTCCCTGGATAAACCTCCCCTCTTCCACATCTTCACGTGTTAACATGGACTGGCGTTCTGTTTACCCGTGCTTCTGTGGAGCACTTCGCAGAGGCAGTGGAGAGTGTGTGTTACCACTCTTGTCATCTTAGTATCAGGCTCTGTGCTCTGCAGAAAATAATTCCCGGCTTGGGATAGGTTTAAGAGCACAGCGGGTTGGGCGTTTGCCTTGCACGCAGCCTACCCTGGTTCAATTCCCAGCATCCTATGTGGTCCCCTGAACACCACCACCAGGAGTAATTCCTGAGTGCAGAGCCAGGAGTAACCCCTGTGCATCCCTGGGTGAGACCCAAAAAGGAAAAAAAAATGTGGGTCGATGGTGACCTGTTTATGTATACACATGTTAAGTGGTGCTGCCTCTTCAACCTTAATGGTATAAATTCACTTGTGTCAGGTGAGGGCTGGAGCGATAGTATAGCGGGGAGGGCATTTGCCTTGCAAGCCCTGGCATCCCGTATGGTTCTCTGAGCACTGCTAGGGGTAATTTCTGAGTGAGAGTCAGGAATCTTGAGCATCACAGGGTATGACCCAAAAAGCAAAAAAAGAAAAAAAAATTACTTGGCGGAGGGCAGAGAAATAGTGTAGGTCAGGCACTGCTTGCTTTGCATGTGGTGTGCCCAGTATCATCTGTGGAACCCTGAGCAATGCCAGGGATCACTCCTGAGCATAGAGCGAAGAGTGGCCCTTAGCAGCACTGAATGTGCTCCCCCCCCAAAAAAAAATCACTTGGAGTAGTTTATCACGATATAATCTGAAGAGTTTTACTTTCTGAGATTTTGATTCTTTGTCACCTAGTATGATGTGTGTGTGTGTGTGTGTGTGTGTGTGTGTGTGTGTGTGTGTTCTGTTTGTTTTTGTGCCACCATCAGTGATGTTCAGGGTTACTCCTGGCTCTGTACTCAGGAATTACTCCTTGCGATGCTTAGGGGACCATATGGGATGCTGGGGATCAAACCTGGGCTGACTGCATGCAGGGCAAGTGGCTTACCAGCTGTACCTTCACTCTGGCCCCACCTAGTATGATCTTGAAAGCAAAACAAAACTTCGCTCAAGTGACTTTATTGTGTTCTCTCGTTGAAAATCTTTGTTTTTAAGTAAGTCCAGCTGTGCTCAGGACTTACCCTTGGCGCTGTGCTAGGAATCATTCCTGGCAATGCTGGGGGACCATAGGTAGTGCCAGGGGGCCGAATCCTGGTCAGCTATGTGCAAGGCAAGTACTCTCTCTGGGCCAGGATCTTTGTTACAGTCCCAGGGGACTGTTGAATCTTTGTTAAGTGGGAAGACTTTGCTGAGTCTTGTGGACTCATTGAGGCATTCTCATCACCCATACCTGGAAGGATGAGTTAGTGGCCTAGGGATGTAGCTGAAGTGGTAGACCATGTGCCTAGCTTATGTGAGAGCCCAAGTTCAGTCTCTGCCACACATGCCTTCCCCCACCTCCACCATAAGCACTGCCACCAGAAATGTTCCCTTCAAAAACAAAAGATTTAGTGGTTAGAAGCATGAACTTTGGGGGGGCTGGAGCAATAGCACAGCGGGCAGGGCGTTTGCCTTGCACGCAGCTGACCCAGGTTCGATTCCCAGCATCCCATATGGTCCCCTGAGCACCGCCAGGAGTAATCCACTGTGCATCGCCAGGTGTGACCCAAAAAGAAAAAAAAAAAAAAGCATGAACTTCTAAATGAGCTTCGAAGTGAGAAAGACATGGATTCGCTGCTTGATTTCTTAGTAGTTCTTTGAGTTCCAGTTTGCATGTTCCTTAATGGGCTGCTGTTGATGCTTGGGACCGTGCATTGCTGGGGATGAAGCCTGGGACTTGTTCATGCAAAGCCTGTACTCTGGCCCTTTGCGCCATCTCAGGAGATCTGAGGGGACTGTTTGCTCCGCAGACCGAGCTTTGTGTGGGAAGCTGCCTTGTACTGTGGAATTTGCTCGAGTTCATCTCTGGCCATCAACGACAGTGCTAACACTGCTTCTACTCAGGGCAGTTGCAGTTGGCCATTCCCTGGAAGAGATTTGGAATGCTGACTCACCAGAGGGTGGGTTTGCTGAATAAGCACATTGTCCAGGTCTAATTGTTGTTCTTGTGCTTGTTAAGTTGGATAAACGAGCTGGAGAAAATGCCATTTGCAGAAACCTATTTGCTTCTGACAGTGAGCTAGCGTTGCTCCTCGCCTGGAACAGAATGCTCTGCAGATCTCAGATTGATAGAGCCTGGGGTTGATACTGTGTCTCTGTCAGTTATAGTTCAGGGTCACATTCATGAGACTTAGTGTGGCCTCAGACCCTCTTCAGCTCTCCCAACTGTATGATGTGAGTGTGCTACAGAAACGCCAAAGAATCAGTCCCTGAGCCTCTGGAGCATAGGGAACAGCAGCCTCCATTGATGCCAGGGTGAAAAAAAAGAAAACTGGGAGAAGGACAGACACGGAGGGAGGGAAGCCATTCTGCTTGTTGAGAGCTGGAGAGACTTATAAACCCTTTCCTTCCAGGAATCTTGCTCAGTGAGTAAAAAGCTAATTTTTGTTGGCTTGCTCATCACTGAGCTAATTCTTGGTTTCAGCCCTCTGTTGCTGAGGTGTCTAATGTAATGCTGAAGTAGAAAAATGTGGTGTTTTCATTTTCTGAGGGAAGATGATCACAGGGAGACCCCCTTCCAGACTGCCAGCCTTGAAGTGGCCTCTCTGAATATCCTCAGAGCGGTGGTTGAAGGAACTCTTGGTGGGGCCATTTGGGCTCTATATTGTTGGACAGCGGAGACTGTGTCTGCCTCCATTTTTATTTGCCATGGGGTAGGGGGGTAGCAGTGCTTGGTGGTCCCAGGGGCACTCCTGGGGATACTGGGCCAAGCTGTGCTAGTGTAGTGGGCTCAGGGCTCTACCCTAGCAGCCCTAGGGCAGCACTAAGGCTACACCCCGCTTGGGGACCATGTGGTGCTGTGGATGGAACTTGGGGCCCTGCGTGCCAGGCATGTGCTCCAGCCCTTTGAATGCTCTCAGCACTGGCAGCTGCAGCCCCTCACAGGGGCCTTGGCTCAGAGCAAGTGCAGGAAGTAAATGTTAGTGGGCTGCATTTTAAGATTTTGGAAGGTTGGGGCTGGAGCGATAGTTCAGCGGGGAGGGTGTTTGCCTTGCATGTGGCCGACCCAGGTTCGATTCCCAGCATCCCATAAGGTCCCCCAAGCACCGCCAGGAGTAATTCCTGAGTGCAGAGCCAGGAGTAACCCCTGAGCATTGCTGAGTATGACCCAACAAACAAAAAAAGGTTTTGGAAGGTGTACCCCAGGTACATTAGCGCTCTCTTGGGGGGCATGGGTGTGTGTGTGTGTAGGTTGGGCCACACCTGGCTACTCCTGGCTCCAGGATTGCTCCAGGATTGCTCCAGCAGTGCATATGAGATTGTATGGTACTGGGGACCCAACCAGGGTTGGCCATATGCAAGGCAAGTACCTTTACCCTTGTACAGACTCTGCCCACTTTCTTGTGGGGGTCGGGAGGTCGCCCAAGCTGTGTTCAGGAGGCCTAGGACCCCCTCCAGGTGATTCTTAGGCAGTCAGGCTGATGTTTCAGTGTGAAGCCCCCTGGCTATGATGCAACTCAGACCCCGATGCTGAGATCGGGGCCACTTGAGTGGAGGTGCTTTGGGTTCAGACGGCCACACCCAGCAATGTTCCGGGAAACATTCTCAGTGCTGGACTCAAACTGGTTGGCTGCATGCAGGGCTTGCACCTTAACCTGGTACTATCTTTGTGACTGGCCCCCCTGGCAGATTTTAGAATATAGCAACGGGGCTAGAACGATATACCGGGTAGAACATTGCTTGTGGTCAGCCTGGGTTTTATCTCAGGTATCCCATGATTCTTCAGCACCTCCAAGAGAAATTCCTGAGTGCAGAGCTAGAAGTAACTCCTGCGCACGACTGGGTATCGTTGTGCCAAAAATACAGCAACAGAGAGCTGGGAATGGCTTAGTAGTAAAGTGGCTTAGTAGTAAAGTGGCTTAGTAGTAAAGTACATGCCTTCCATGCCTAAAACATGGGTTTGATCCCCCGCACCACAAAACAAAATAAAGCAGTCGCACATAAGTGTTCAAAGTGAGGTGGAGGATCTCCCACACCACACCCCTCTCCCCTTCACAGTCCCACACCCAGG